TGTATAGATGCTCTCCTTTGGGCTTGAGAGGAGTGCCCCAATGCTCTCCAAGCTCTTAAACTTCTTACACATGACTGAACAAGGCTTGCTTCATGGCTTTAGTTCGGGCTCTTGTCATTGGACCTCCAATATATTGCAATGGGTCTTTAGGTACCTTGGATTAGACGTATTAGGCTCCTTGCTCCTTGTCTTGGGCTCCTTCCATGTCACCATGCTCATAATTACCATCCTCAAGCTTCGTTGCCATCAATGTCATGTCATTCATGCCATGGGGTCCATCATTCCCTCCCAGTTGGAAAAGATTCATCCTTGAATCTGCAGAATCATATAAAGATAGATCAGAAACATTAAATGTAGTACCAACATTTCCATAAGAGCTAGGTAAATCAATCTTGTAAGAATTATTATTAATTCTTTCTAAAACTTGGAAAGGTCCATCTCCTCAAGCTTGAAGTTTGGACTTCCTTTGATTAAAAAATCTCTTTTTCCTTAAATGTAACCAAACCCAATCTCTAGGCTCAAAGATCACACGTCTCCTACCTTTATTAGCTTGCTTAGCATATTGCTCATTCTTTCGCTCTATGTTTGCTTTAACCTTAGCATGTAAGTCCTGCACAAACTCAACTTTTTTCTTGCCATCAGTGTTAGCATGCTCAGAAAAAGGCAAAGGTAAAATATCAATAGGAGATAATGGATTGAAACCATAAACAATTTCAAATGGAGAATAAGAAGTAGAAGGATGAACAGCCTTATTGTAAGCAAATTCAATATGAGGTAAACAATTCACCCAATTCTTCAAATTCTTTTGAATTATTACTCTTAGCAGTGTAGTCATAGTTTTGTTAACTACCTCGGTTTGACCATTAGTTTGTGGATGGGCAGTAGTGGAAAAAAGTAACTTAGTCCCTAATTTATGCCATAGGGTACGCCAGAAGTAACTAAAAAACTTCACATCCCTGTCACTCACAATAGTCTTAGGTAAACCATACAAACGAACAATCTCTTTAGAGAAGAAGTCAACAATATTAATAGCATCATTAGTCTTAGCACAAGCAATAAAGTGTGCCATCTTAGAGAACCTGTTAACAACAGCAAATATGGAATCTTTGCCTACAGAAGATTTAGGCAATCCAATTACAAAATCCATAGAGATATATTCCCAAGGGTGAGAGGGGACAAGTAAAGGAGAGTAAAGTCCATGAGGTTGGACCTTAGATTTTGCCTATCTACATTTAATGCATTTATCACAAACAGATATGACATCTTTCTATATGTGAGGCCAAAAGAAATGATCAAACAAAATAGCCGAAGTGTTCTCTACACCAAAGTGTCCCATCAAACCACCACCATGTGCTTCCTTAGTAAGCAACTCACGCATAGAACAAATAGGAATGCATAATTTATTTTTTTAAAAAAGAAATTCATCAAATCTAAAGAAATCACCAGATCCATGATTTTCACAAGATTTTCAAATATTTTTAAAATTAGAATCAGTTTTATAGAAATCTTTTAGAATCTCAATGCCAAGTAATTGAACATGCAAATAGGAAAATAATGTATACATTCAAGATAAGGTATCAGCAATGATATTTTCTTTACCTTACTTATGCTTAATCACATAAGGAAAGGTCTCAATAAATTCCATCCAGCGAGCATGTCTCTTGTTCAACTTACCTTGAGACTTGAGAAACTTTAAACTTTCATGATCAGAATGAATGATGAATTCCTGGGCCACAAATAATGTTGCCACATTTCTAAGGCCCTCTTTAAAGCATAGAGCTCTTTGTCATAGGTGAAATAATTTAAAGATATACCATGAAGCTTTTCACTGAAGTAAGCTATAAGCTTAGAATCCTGTATTAAAACAGCACCTATACCAATACCAGAAGCATCACATTGAATTTCAATTGTTTTAGAGAAATTAGGCAAAACAAGTAAAGGGGCATTAGTTAATTTATCCTTTAGGGTTTGGAAAGCCCTTTCTTGTGTCTCACCCTATTTGAAGGTCACATTCTTCTTAACAAGTTCATTAAAAGGGGCAGTAATGTTAGAGAAATCCTTAACAAATCTCCTATAGAAGCTTGCTAAGCCATGGAAGCTTCTCACTTCACTTGTATTCTTAGGGGTTGGCCATTCACGAATAGCCTTAACTTTCTCCTCATCCACACGAATTCCTTGTGATCTAACAACAAATCTCAAAAAGATAACAGAGTCCATATAAAAGAAACACTTTTGAAAATTAGCATATAGCTTATATTCCCTTAAGGTGTTAAACACAGTTTTAAGATAATTCATATGATCAGTCAAAGATTTACTATAAATCAGGATATCATCAAAGTAAACCACAACAAACTTGCCTATAAACTTTCTAAAAACATGATTCATTAATGCCATAAAAGTACTAGGAGCATTAGTTAAACCAAAAGGCATAACTAACCATTCATATAATCCAAATTTAGTCTTAAAGGTAGCTTTCCATTCATCACCCTCTTTCATACGAATTTGATGATAATCACTTCTAAGATCAATTTTAGAAAAGATAGAAGCACCATGCAATTCATCAAGCATATCATCAAGTCTAGGGATAGGGTAACGATACTTTACAGTGATTTTGTTGATTGCTCTACAATCAACACACATCCTCCAAGATCTGTCTTTTTTTGGCACCAAGATAACAGGGACAGCACAAGGACTAAAGCTCTCATGCACAAAGCCTTTCATCATCAATTCCTCTACTTGACGCTGGATCTCCTCAGTCTCTTCAGGGTTAGCCCTATAAGTAGGCTTGTTTGGAATAATAGCTCCGGGCAAAAAATCTATCCTATGCTTAATTCCTCTTAAGGGAGGAAGTCCATCAGAGAATAGAACTCCATAATCCTGTAACAAAGAGACAACACTAGAAGGCAAAGTGGGGTCAAGAGTGTTAGTAGGAAAATAAATATTCTTGGGAATTATAATAAGAGCTTGCTCACTCATCAAAGCCTCTTGAATCTCACTTTTCCCACATAATAATATTTTCTTTTCACTATTTTCCTTCACTCCTACCATTCTATTTTTTTCTTTTCTCACCTTCTCACCACTCTTTTTCCTCTCTTTTGATTGATTTTCAAGTAAAGTAATACTCTCTTTCTTTTCTTTCTCACCCATGCCACAATTAAAGAGATCTCTCCTTTGCTTGTAATCTTGAGAAATCTTTAGTTGATCTTCATAGGCTTGGATAGGCCTTAGAGAGCTCTTCTTGCCATCAAGATAGAGTCAACTATACTATTGCATTCAAACTCATCATTTGATTCATGGGAGGTAGAATCATCATTAACATTATCAGCATCATCTTTATCATTTTCATGCACACTATCATAGCCACCATCATCTCTCAAGATCATAACTTTTTTATTGCTGCAATCTCTTGCCATATGGCCGACACCATGACATTTGAAACACTTAATAGGAGAAGTGTTAGATGAATAAGAAGAAGGTTTAGGGTTAGAAGTTTTACCCTTATACTTGGTCTTTATTTCTTTCTAGGCTTGGGATGTATCTTTGGATTTGGAATCTTTCCATTTGGAAGTTGTCTTGGAGTCTTTCCAAGAGGACTTGGAATGTTTGTTCTTATTTCTCTACTCTAACTTTATAGCCTTGTATATGAGCTCTTCTTTGTCCACAAAAGTGTACAAGTCAAGCTTATCTCTCAACTCTGCCTTAAGCCATCCATAATTCTTGACATTGCTTCACGTTCATTTTCTTGAATGTTTGCACGAAACTTCAAGATAAGGGAGACGGAAGTAGAATCGTGCTAGTTTAGGTACAGAACCCTGAAACACAATAAAAACACAAGAACAAAAAGAAAGGGATGAAATTTATGACAAAAATAAAGAAAGATATGAAATAAACAATGGGATAATGATCAAGGAAAAGATCCTTTAGAGCACCTGCCTCTAGGAACCTCAACCTTTGAAGATACCACAAGAGTTGATCACGCTCTTGATCACGTCTGTTTCTCACACAAGATGCCACTGCAAAGCACTAAGGCTCACAAGAGTTATAAACTCTAAAGTGAATAATTTCATTCAACTTCTCTTCTGTTTACAAGAGGGAGCATTCTTAATTTATATAAACTTATAGAAAAGAATATTTCCTAAAATTAAAACCCTAATTTTCTAATACTAAAAGGAGAAATAATATAAAATAATGATAAAATATTCAGCCACATAATTTAGGAGATATGATCCTAAAATTATGGGACTATAAAATTTAAAAATTAATACTATAATTAATTCTAACCTTTGACTAGACTCAAAATAGGAAATCAAATCAAAGGACCATTAAAATAGGAAATAATTTAAGAGACAATCAAGGGATCATAAAGGATTTAAAATCACGCCGCCCTTAACTTCTTTACTAGGGTTTCATGCCTCCTTGCTTGCAAGAGGCTCAACTTGTAGTCTTCCTTGCATTGGGCTAAGGTTTGCATCTCTTGGGCTTGACTCTTCATGAGTTTGGATCTCAAGCACATTATACATGTATAGATGCTCTCCTTTGGGCTTGAGAGGAGTTCCCCAATGCTCTTCAAGCTCTTGAATTTCTTGCACAAAACTGAACAAGGCTTGCTTCATGGCTTTAGTTCGGGCTCTTGTTATTGGACTTCCAATATGTTGTAATAGGTCTTTAGGTATGTTGGATTAGAAGTGTTCGGCTCCTTGCTCCTTGCCTTGGGCTCCTTCCATGTCACCATGCTCATGATTACCATCCTCAAGCTTCGTTGTCATTAATTCCATGTCATCCATGCCATGGGGTCCATCAGAAGTTTTGACATGTGTGAAGTAATCTATTTGATAGCCTTGTTTTGAAATACCATCAGAAATAAAAGATCGTTGTACATACTTCACCATTCTACTTCTAATTAATTGCTACATTATTTGTAAAGTTTCACTTTATTATACACATCTTGATGGTGATGGATGTATTTGTAATTTGCATGATTCAGCTCTCAAACTGTTGTTATGGCACTTGAAGCTCATGGAATTGACCACCCTTCAAGCTCTTTTAGTTCGGCTAGGAGGTGGAAGTATCATGTCTTCTTGAGTTTTCGAGGAGAAGACACTTGTAGAAGCTTTACAAATCACTTGTATTGTGCTTTACAACGCAATGGAATCATAGCTTTCAATGATGACGAAGAACTTGAGAGGGGAGAAGTTATTAAACCAAGTCTGCTTCGAGCAATTGAAGAATCTCTTTCTGCAATTGTTGTTCTTTCTCCAAATTATGCTTCTTCAACTTGGTGCCTGGATGAGCTCTCAAAGATTCTCCATTCTAAGAAAGAGTCAGGTCTTTATGTATTTCCAATATTTTATGGTGTGGATCCATCTGATGTTGAACATCAGAGAGGAAGTTTTGCAGAAGCGTTTAAAAAGCATGAAGAAATATTTACACGAGATGAAATGAAGGTGCAAAATTGGAGGGATGCTTTAAAAGAAGTTGCTAACTTATCTGGCTGGCACGCTGACAATTGGTAATTTGTATTATTTCCAATAATCATCATGAATAATTTTTAAATAATATTAATGGTGTTGATATTAATTACTTTAAACTATTTAAAAAATGTTGTTAGCTATTATAATATAATTATATATATAGGAACAACATAGTTTTTTGTTTCTAGAGTTCTGGTCTTTCGTTAAGATCCTAAAGTTTTTTTATTAATTAAGAAATAAGTCCTTAAAGTTATGGTTAACTTTGGTCAGTGTCTTGGGAGATCATATATCACTTGTTTGCCAACGATGTTTGATGACAATAGAGATTTTGACCAAAATTCACCATAAATTTATACATTGATTTCTTGATGATGATGATGATGATGATGATAAAAAACTATAGTAACCTTGACCTATATGACCAAAACTCTAGAGATAAAAAAAAACGGTTTTCCCTTATATAAAATTCAAATACAAAATCTATGAAAAGTTAAATTATCTATGAACCATGAGTAAATTGACTCACCCCAAACTCCTTGCAAATCACTATACGTAATCTAGTTTTTAAGGAAATTATGGGGAGGCAATTTAGTAACATTCACCAAAAACAATTAGGAGGAACCCAAGTTTGAGTGTACCTTTCATAATTGATAGGTCCTATCATAAAACAAATAAGAGGAAAAATAATTGTAAGTTTAAAAATAAGGCTGACAAGAATATGATTTATTCTTTTTCTATCACAAACCTGGCTATTTAATATTGGATTACAATAATTTTAAAAACTATGATAAACATATGTCAAGGTTAACTTATGTTACATAGTTGAACTAAAATTAATTATACCCGTGTGACCATGTTTTCTTTATGTTATGTTGACCATTTTAATCTATATATAAATTAAAATTCAATTGACTTAATGTTAATGATATTACTTTATATTTCTTTGCAGTCATGAAACAAAACTCATTGAAACCATTATTGAAAAAGTGTGGTAAAAAATATATGATGAAATTCCATTTGACTCTGAGAAATTGCTTGGAATTGAATCAAAACTTGTCAACTTAAACTCACTTATAGTTAATGGATTGGGTGAAGTTCAATTTATAGGAATATGGGGCATAGGTGGTTTAGTTAAAACTACTCTTGCAAGAGCTTTCTATGAGAGAATGTATAAAGATTTTGAAGGTCATTGCTTTCTTCTTAATGTTAGAGAGGTATATGAAGCAGAAGGTTTGATTCCCTTGCAAAAAAAAAAAAATCTTTGTTCTTTGTATAAAAGAAGCATGGATGTGGATGACTATTATGTAGGAAGGAAGTTGATAAAAAGCATGTTAAGCAAATAGGAAAATTCTTCTTGTCCTTGATGATGTGAGTGATATAAGCCAACTTAAAAATTTGGCTGGGAATCAAGGATGGTTTGGCAAAGGGACCTTAATAATAATAACAACTAGAGACAAGCATTTGTTATTATCACATGGTGTATCTACTTGTTATGACATCAAATTCTTGACTGATGATGAATCTCTTGAACTATTCCATCAAAATGCTTTTAAAGGAAGTAAGCCAAGCAAAGCTTTTTTGGAGCTTTCTAGAACTATGATTCAATATGCTAGTGGCCTTTCTTTGGCACTCAAAGTGTTGGGTTCTTTTTTGTGTGGAAGAACTATAGAGAAATGGAAGGATGCGCTTGCTAAGTTGAAGAAGGTTCCTCCAAATAACATTTTGAAGATACTTAAGGTGAGTTTTGATGAATTAGATCATAGGGAAAAGACTATATTCTTGGATATTGCTTGCTTTTTCAATGGAATGGCCAAAGGCCCTCTCATACAAATTTTAGAAATTTTGGATGAGGATCTTCACCCAACAATTGGAATAGATGTTCTTATTGACAAATCACTAGTAATCAATTCAGAAGGGTATTTGTGGGTGCCCCATATACTTCGAGACATGGGTAAATATATAGTCTCTCAAGCATCACCTAATGATGCTGGCAAGCATTCTAGGATATTGTCTTTGAAGGATGCCAATGATGTATTAGAAGGAAATAAGGTAATGGCCCTAAGTTTCGTGACTATTCAAGCATTCTCTATTTAATATTTTATTCCATCAATTGTGTACATTATTAACTTGATTGACTTATTATTTATAGGGGACAGGAGCAATTCGGGGTATACCCATAATAGTAGACGAAACATTTAATGCACTTGGGAATCCTGACGCCTTCTTAAGGATGATCAATCTCAAATTACTTGTCATTTCAAGCTGCTCACATATTTCTCATTGTCAATTGAATCTTTCACGTGGAATTAAGTCCCTTCCCAATGGGCTGAAACTCTTAGCATGGGATGGGTATCCTTTAGATTCTTTGCCCAATCAAACAAAATTCCATGAACTTCTTGTTCTAAAAATGCAACATAGCAAGTTAAAAGAACTTTGGAGGGGAGCACGGGTAATTATGATCCTTTCATTTAAATTGTTTGTCCTTAATTTAAATTTTTTTTTATTATAAGTAGTTTGTCATTTTTTAGGACTTATTATTTTCTTTTTTTTTTTCTTTTTAAGTCTCTGCCAAGGTTGAAGTCCATTGATTTATCTCATAGTCTCTGCCAAGGTTGAGGTCCATAGATTTATCTCATTCAAAATTCCTTATCAAAACTCCAGATTTTTATAAAATTCCTAATCTTGAGATATTGATTCTAGAAGGGTGTTCTAAACTGGTTGAAGTTACACCAGTCTCTTGGGCAACATAAGAATCTTGTTATTGTTAATTTGAAAGGCTGCAAAAAAGTTAGAACCCTTCCAAGAAAATTTGAGATGGATCGCTTAAAGATTTTTGTTCTACCCGGTTGTTCAAAAATTAGAAAACTTCCTGAGTTTGAAAAGGATATGAAATGTCTCTCTACACTTGATTTAGAGAACAATGCTATATCCAAACTACCTGAATCATTGGGCAATTTGATTGGTCTTGTTGAATTAAATTTGACGGGTTGCACAAATCTTGTTTGGCCTCCAAATAATGTTCATAAATTCATAGCCAGGAAGATTATCAAAATTTCTGGTTGGTCTAACCTTTCAAGGATGCCAGAGGATTTGAATGAAAATGGGACTTTGGAAGTGCTTGATGTGGGTCGAATTTCTTCATCATCATGGAGTTGTGTGTCCCTTCTCAGGAAGTCATTTGGGCTTCAAGGGCCTTTAAGCTCAACAAATTTTATGGTACCCATTTCTTTATCATTCTTGAGCCAATTAAATTTAGGTTATTGCAAACTTCATGATGGATCACTTCCAGATGACATAAGCATGTTATCATCATTGACACATTCAATTTTAAGTGGAAACAATTTCATTGACTTACCATCTCGCCTCATTTCCAATCTTTCCAAGCTTCTATTTTTTGATATTGTTAATTGCCCTACGTTTCGGTCCTTGCCACAACTTCCGTCAAATCTATCAACCATTCTCGCAAGCGGTTGTCCATCAATGGAGCATTACATGTGTTCGCAGAAACTATGGGAGTTCATTGAATCATTCCAATCTCAGGTTTATTGTGTTTGTCTTTACTTGTTCTTTCACATTAATCATTATACTTCTTTGTAGTCATTTTTCCTTATGTATAGGTTATCAATTTCAGCGACGGCTTTATAGCTTGTTATGAAGAACATAAACCTGTCATTTTATTTCAGGAGTATGGAATCCTTACACAAGATTTACAAATTGTGAGCATTTTTTATTTTTTGAATTACTTGAATTTTGATTTTTTTGTTTTTCCCCCCTGGACATTGAATCTCTATATGTTTGACTTGTATATATTTTCCATTTCTTACATTTTAATTATTATACTTCTTATTCAAACAATTTGTTTTTTAATCACAGCCTGACTTCTTCAAGCAATATAGTCGTGTATTGACAATTCAAGGTAGTGAAGTGCCACCATGGTTTCATAATCAAAACTATTTTTGTGAGAAAGAAATCAGTGATCCAAATGTGTCATTCACAGCAAGCATACCTGAATATTGTCATTCAAGCGAATGGGGGGGCACAGCCACATGCTTAGTGTTAGAAAACGATTTAGCATCCTCACACCTTGACTTGGAGCACCCTGAGATTATGTTTGATTATGTTTGGTGGACTTATAGATTGCCCAATAAAAAATTTCAAGAAATTCACTGTGGCTATCGTTTGTGTATACAAACAAATTGTAGCCATCAACTCTGTGTTATCTATGCTTGTTGTTCCTCTTTGGCTGCAAACCAACTTCAAATGGTATTTTTGGTGACTGAGACATCAAAGTTTAAAATAAGGAAGTGTGGATGGCGTGTATTGTGTAGAGAAGATGTTGAAACTTGGCGAACAACAAGGGAAGAAGGATGTAAGAGCAACAATGCCGAAATTTGGAATAAATAATTGAAGGTATGCACATCAACATTATCTTTTTTTAAAATTTTTCCTTTTTTATGGATATCTCATGTTTTATTTTTTGGTTGCTTGTATAACAACAGCAACATTTGCATCATTTTCATATGACCGATGGCATTAGTTGTTCAAAAAATTATTGTATTATTAATCCCTACAATGTCACATAATTTTGATTTGATCTTTATAATATAAAATTTAAATAATTAATTAATTCAATCTTTATTGTTATATCTTGTCAATATATTGTTACATGTGTGAAATATTTAGCTATTTATACTTACAAAACTTAACCAATACTTGTAAAACTTTATCAATATATGGATCTATTTAAAAAAAAATTGTAAACTGTACAAAATATAAAAATTTTAAACTCATTTGTTTGATCCATCATGCATGTAAGCCAGGCCATGTATAAGAATTAAGAAAATTCTATGTAATTCAAATGTAACTATAATTGAAGCATGTTTATTTTTGTTTATCATATAGCTTAGCTGAAAATTCACTGATCATAATAGCCAATTATAAAGTTTTTTTTTTCCCTGCTAGCAGGTTTCTCTTCACGAGACTTCTTTGTGACTGAATTTTAGTTGGTTTTTGCCGATGAAGATTATTTTTATGGTGAATTTGAGGATTAACTTCTCATTACACTCGTTGTGATTTAGTGTGAGACTTCATGAAGTATATATGGTGTTTTCATAATTATGCTTTAAAACTTGGAAACTAGTGTAGAAATAGGTTAAGTGATTACCCATATGGAAACTTATATGACCAGAACATATGAGAGAATTTTAAAATATAAAGGTTCCCCTGAATCAAAAGAAAAAAAAAATAAAGGTTTCCGTAAATTATACATTTGGGAGATTTTTAAACACTAAAACACTTCTATACACCATTTTCTTTGTATTATAGTCTCTGGTTTTTTAATATGTGGGAACATATATTTTGACAAACACACCAACGGTAGAATATTCACAATATCTAATATTCCCTCTTTTGTTAAAAAATATAAAGTATTTTTTAAGATGAGATATTAAAAAAATATAAAGCATTATTTGTCTTTTAAGGTGCAATTAATGAGGTATAATTAATAATGTTATCTGATTGAAACACCTGATTAAATAAAAGTAAACATGAAAAGAGTGTGTAATTTAAAGATAATTAACTAACTTATTATAAAAATTGTGATATGATTAAAAGTGTCTAATGATTTTAAACGGATGAAGTACATTCCCAACATATCCTTAACAGTGAAGACACGCACGAACCAGCGGAAGGAGAAACTTGGACCAAATGATAAAGTTGAAAAAACAAATACATCGCGGATTGCGTTGAGTTAATTTCCTCATGCAAGTATAAAACATTGTAATTTGTTTGAACTGAGAATAAGAATAATTTTGCATTCCAAGTCATGGCAAATCAACAACGAAGCCAAGAAAAGCTCAAGAACTAACAAAGAAAAGAATGAAAATTAAATCTGAAAAATACGACAAAAATTCATAAAAATGATTGAAAATTGAAACGGTCGTCAAAACAGTATCAATTTTGTTCATTATCCCCACAAACAGGGGAATGCCAAATTAGAAACAGATTACAATAAGCATGACAATGCAAAAAGCAACTGAAATGAGCAACGTGCAGGTGGTAAAACAGGGGAAAATGGACGATAGTTAAAAACAGGGGAAAGAAGTAGAATCTCAAAACAATTAAATCTGGAAGAAAAACTAAGTGCTAATCAAAGAAGGATTTTGCTCATTATCGACCTCCCAATGTTTACTATATATATGATATCTGATTTATAACATTTCTAGCATTTTTGCCAGAACTAAATAAAATCTTTTAAACTTTATTAATCTAAAAATTTAACAAGTTTTTAACTTTATCTCTATTAAACATATATACTTTAAACATAAAATACTCTAGCATTTTATTACATTTCTAATATTTAATAGGAACAAAAAGATTTTGGCAAAAAAAAGGAAAAAAAAGATAAAGATGGGCGCAATAATTATTGAGGTACCTTAAAAATAGGACAAAACAAATACCCTCTCCTTTTATCCTATGAATAAGACCAGACGAGTATACAAAAAAATTGATTTAAAATTTCCAGTTACATCACTAAATATTTTATAAATAGTGATGGGAAGCCAAAATTGAGAAAAAAAAAGGGGTAAGAGATCAAATAGAAGATTTACCAAAACTGGATAGTGAAATCAGCTGCCAATAAATTCTCCTCTTGATCTCATATTGTGGATACCTTCGCAACTGTGTCCCTAGTCAGCTTCTTCAAAAGCCCTTGACATGGATCCTGTTTTCCCAAAGTTTCCATGAACCAAGCCCCTCAAGGATACGATACAGATATAATAATGAAAACTCACTATCTAATCATTGTTAAAAAGCGTCCTAGAAAAGAGTATGTTGTATGGCAACGTTGTAACTAATGGCAGCCTTACAAGTATCTAGGGAATACCTTTGACATTTTTATTTAATGTGATTGCACATTTCAAGATTTGAACTTGAAACTTCAAGGTAAACGAATTCAACTTTCTCGACTAGTTGAACCAAGCGTTCTTCAGTATCTATTACTATTTTTGTGTGTGTCTAATACTTTTTTCTTACTGTAAACAATATGATTTTTCAAAATATAAGAATTAAAAACAATATTATGGAATTTTAAAAATAGACTATTCACTGTTCATACAATTTTTGAGAGGAAAATGATGAGTCCCAAGAGACTAAAAGAGGGAATTAATCGTGTAGTTAGATTTATGATATTTTTTTTTGAAAAATAAATTTCAAATTATATTTACAAATTCAGAAGTTCTAATTGCAAGTAAGAGATATAAACTCTAAATGTAATTCTTAATTTTCAATTGAAATTCCTATCTATAACTATCTAAATTAATATTTACAACTCATTCATTGAAATTTTTATTGAGAATCTAATTGTCATTAATTTATTTCTTTTAAAACTTTAGTGTCATTCTCCCATTTTAAAAGCCTTATGATGTAACTACATATTATGAGTCTAGTGATTATTTAAACGGGGAGGATTTTAAGATGCTAAGACACGAGATGCTGAGAGGATTAGTTCCCACAGGTAGACATATAATGTTAAGGCAGAAATGGGCAAATTTTGGTGCCCTCCAAATTTATTGACGTATTAGATTTATCATAGATATATGTCCTACTTTTTTATAGGGGAATTTCATAGAATCATGATAGGAATTTTATTTTAAATTAAGATCAATAAAATGTAAAATAATATTGCAGGATAAAAGAATAAAATGAAATTATTTTTTGTTAAAAATGATTAAAATACTGTTTATTTAATTTTTTTAAAGAAAATCCGCCAATCAAGGTCATGGAGCCTGGAGCATTGTCGCCGATAGCCCAACCTCCACCGTGGCTTCCATTACTATATATACATGTGACCTCGAATTAATTAAAAAAAGATTCATTTTCCTATACGTTATAATATAAAGCATTTTTTTTATAAAAATCCTACTTCGTCTAAAATATAAAATTTTGGATAGGTTATATGTGTATATTTTTTTAATTATATCCTTATTTTATTATATTTCATTTAAGTATAATTAACAAGGATGTTTTAAATAAATTAAATATTATATTTATTCTGAATTAACGTGAGGCCTGTTCTTATCTCAATCGTGCAGTGTGAACTGCATCATGAGCCATGAGCCAAAGAAGCATTTTCATTTTCTCAGGGATTTGTAGGCGCCAGATGAATTTCAAGTTGAAAGTTCTTGCACTAGAGAAACCTTCATTTAAAAAAGAGTAGGCAGAACGAATAGAGAATTTACTAGGAGTGTTCATGCTTGTTCCTGTCCTTGTCAAGATAGGATTTTGTGAGAAGGGACAAAAATATGTTCTGGATGGGGCATAGGATCACCATTGGGACATCTCCCATTTTAAAACTTTACTGTCATTCTCCCATTTTAAAAGCCTTATGATATAACTACTTATCACGAGTCTACTGATTATTTAAACGGGAAGGATTTTAAGACGCTAAGACATGAGATGCTGATAGGATTAGTTCCTACAGTTAGACAAATATATAATGTTAAAGGCAGAAATGGGCAAATTTTGGTGCCCTCCAAATTTATTGGCGTATTAGATTTATCATAGATATATTTCCTTTTTTTATGGGGGAATTTTTGTGAAGAATCATGGTAGGAATTTTATTTTAAATTAAGATCAATGAAATCTAAAATAATATTGCAGGATCAAAGAAATAAATTGAAATTTTTTTGTTAAAAAATGATTAAAATACTGTTTATTTAATTTTTTTTTAAGAAAATCCACCAATCAGGGTCATGGAGCCTGGAGCACTGTGGCCCATAGCCCAACCTGCACCGTGGCTTCCATTACTATATATGCACGTGACGTTGAATTAATTACATAAAGAAATTCCTTTTGCTGTACGTCATAATATAAAGCATTTTTTTATAGAAATTGTATATATATATTTTAATTATACCCTTACTTTATTATATTTCATTTAAGTATAATTAATAAAGATATTATGAATAAATTAAATATTATATTTATTCTGAATTAACATGAGGCCTCTTCTTTGTCTCAATCGTGCAGTGTGAACTGCATCATGAGCCATAAGCCAAAAATGCACTTTCATTTTCTCTGGGATTTGTAGGCGCCAGGTGAATTTCCAGTTGAAAGTTCTTGCACTTGAGAAGCCTTCATTTAAAAAAGAGTAGGCAGAACAAATCAAGAATTTATAGAAGTGTTCATGCTTGTCTCTATCCTGATCATGTCAAGATAGGATTTTGCAAGAAGGGACAAAAATATGTTCTAGGTGGGACATGAGATTACCATTAGAACATCC